GAGTAATGTCCTTCTGAATCTGGCCTGTTGTTTGTACACTTTCATCTATTACTGATGTACAAACCACTGACACTGTAAAAACATGGGAGCTACTTTAGACTTGCAGCTAAAGTTCCCTGCTTGTTTAAAAACACAAAACCTAAATCAAGCCATTACATGTTGCCTACTGCACATATTTTGCTTAAAATATTTTGACATTAGAGTAATGTCCTTCTGAATCTGGCCTGTTGTTTGTACACTTTCATCTATTACTGATGTACAAACCACTGACACTGTAAAAACATGGGAGCTACTTTAGACTTGCAGCTAAAGTTCCCTGCTTGTTTAAAAACACAAAACCTAAATCAAGCCATTACATGTTGCCTACTGCACATATTTTGCTTAAAATATTTTGACATTAATTTATTGCAAGTGGCAGCAGAAATCTTAATTTGCTATGTGGTCTGCTTCAGTGCAAATAATGTGGCATTTCACTAAAATGTGATATACCAACTTCTGGGGGAGAGATTGTGGTGCTTATTTTGTTGTTGGTTTGGGATTTTTTTAAGGGCTACACTATGAATTTGGTGCTTGCAACAAGCACAAATTTCTCTCCAAGCAGAGCATACATGAGCAGTATCTGATCAATAAAATGTTAATCTTGTGCATCAAATTCTTAATTGTGAAGCAGGGAACAATTCTGAAGAACTAAAGTAGGATTTTTGTTACAAATACCTTATCTGAATGTAGCAAATTTAAAAAAAAAAAAAAAACCTGCTTCTAGCTGATATTCTTGCAAATTGCAGGGAACTATGTGCTATTTAGGGTCTTCTGGGTTTTAATTCCTAGTTCCCTATATTCTTGCTGGCTTCTTTTTCTTAAGAGACCTTTCCAAACTGGGAAGTTAGCTAACTTGATGTGTTTGGAATGCAGGCACTCTGAAAATTGGTACTTGAAGATAACTAGAAAAAATAGAGCATTCAGAATGTCTAACACTTGTTTTGATATTTCATGCAGTGGACAGAGAAGTAATCCTCAAGCCATGTAATTATTCTTTCAAGCTGAAGAGAATGTGACACATGGAATTGAGTGTTCTTAATTGTCAATGTATTCAGCATTACCAAAACAGTGTTAACAGTGAGTGCTAATAATAGTATTAGTACAGAAGTAAGAATTTCCAAGGGACTTCATGGTGGCTTTTTCTTTTGAGCTTGTGGTATAAAGTCTCTTCAGAAAGGCAAGGGCTATGTCCCCAGTTGTGTAAAGCTTTTTGTCATAATTGTAAATGGCTTCTTGTAAAATGCTTAAGATAAAACTGTCAGTCCCACTATTTGTTTTGTTGCAGTACAAGTGACTGCAGTGTGCTCAACAGCTAGGAGAACCACCTCTGTCACTTGTGTGTATCCTTTTGTGCATACACAAGTTCAGATACTACAAACCATGATGCATTTTCATGCCCTACTTACTTGGAAAGGGAGAAGATTCTCAATCTGTCTCTATTTTCAAGCATGGTTACTGGATAAGATGGTTGGTTGTTCTTTTCAATTTGTAAATCCTGTTATCCGGGTGCCATACCATCACCATACATTCAGTATTCTGGAACATCAGCTGCATAAGTAACTTTTTCATTTAGTAACTTTTTAAATCTACATCACTTTTACTTTGAAGGTGCTCTAGCAAAACTTTTAATTGGTTTAACTGAAGCAATATTTGGAAGCCCATCTGATGGATAACTAAAAGAATCAGCCTTCTAAGCACTCATGACATTCAACTAAATATTGTATAAATCAGCTCTTCTACATTTACACTTTGTAGTTTCCTATTTCCTCAGCCCTTCCAAAAATGTTACTTTGGTGCTAGATATAACTTATTGAAGATCTGAATGAATGTAAAATAAAGTATTTTTAATGTATGAAAACCATGGATATCAATAGTTATTTCATCCCTGGAAGCAGATTCAAGGATGCAGAAGTGTTCTGTTACCTTTGAATGCTATTCTGTCAGAAAGGGCTTCCTTAGCAGCAAGGTTTCATTGTCAACTATTTTATTTAAGTAAAGATGACTTGTGCTAGAGGAAATGACTGTTCAGCATCCTCACGTGACATTGCTCTCTTAGCCTAGGGGTATGTCTAGACAGCATCCTTCTGTTGGAATAAGCTACACATTTTGCACTACGCAAATTGTGTAGCTTATTCAGAGTCTGTTGAAAAAGCTTACTTTGAAATGTGGCATTGTGTAGACCGCATTATTCTGATAAATCCTTTAATGTTACAGGGATGCCAGAATAGCACGCACCTGCTATTTTGGGAAATAGCAGGCACTTTTAAAGACACAGCATTGCTATTTTTGGATACTTCAGTAATATTTCATAAGTGCTTTTCAAACCATACCACCATGTATAATACACGTCCTTTTTATGCTGAATTAATCCAACATACATGTTGCTAATTTACAAGGAACTTGCTATTTGACTGTCTGTGGATGCCTCAAATAGCACTATAATTTCTTTAAAAATGAGTAGGGCTGTGGCACCTTAGAGACTAACAAATATATAGAGAATCATGAAAGCTCATGATATATGTTAGTTTTTAAAGTGCCACAGGACTACTCATTGTTTTTAAAGTTAGAGTAACACGGCTACCCCTCTGAGACTATCGTCTCTGTCCTGAGAAATGAAATTAGCTTAAACTGTGACAGTTGAGCTTGTGTTCAGAGCACTGACCCTGTACTACAGATTGAACCCTTCTAGTCTAGTACCCTCAGAACCTGACTGGTGCCGGACCAGAGAATTTGCCAGCCATGGGAGGTTAAGATTATGTAACAGTATTACCTGCACTTCCACTGCTTACTGGGCTCTTAGACATGTAAGGGTAAACTAGAGCTAAATAATAGCACAGAACAGTGGGACCTAGGACTGCTGGCTGTAAATAACACTGGAAAATTTGGCTGCACGGATGAGGAGGTGGCCATCTAGCTAACTAAAATTGTGCTAGTTGACAGATGTTGCTGGACTAGAGAGTTTCAACCTGTACAAGAACAGTGATGACCTCGCCTTTAAGTATACTACTATATCCTGTCCCTAACATTGTGTATCTATTGTGCCCAACCAAGTTCCAATAAGCCCCTCCCTAACCAACTTTTTTTCTGTAACAATGAAACTTTTATCTTCACTTTACAAATATGTACTAATCAGCTTTGACGTTACAAGCTCTTCAGCAGCAAGAAGTGCTATCTGCATACCTGAGGTAGGAAAACCATCCTTAGTATTAAGTAGCTGTTCAGGATGCTAGAATGATTCCAGTGGACATATGTGATTCAGGGTCCAGGAATGGCTTTGGACTTCATTTATGGTTTCCTAAGTACTTTACCACTTTTCTTCCATACAGTTGGTGCTATGGTACTATGCCAATCTCTTTTTTTAAAGAGAGATCTTGCAAGAGGCTGTTGCATATACCCCAACTACTTTTAAACCATGGTAAGAAAATACTGCAAGGAGGATATCAGCTGCCTGTTTAAGTGTATTCAGTTCAGTAGGGGTGTGTCGGTATGGGTGTGTGTGTGTGTGGTTTTTTTTTTTTTTGTAAATCAAATCAAACCATGCATTCATTTGAAGTGTGCTCTAGTGCAGCTATGCTATACCCATAACTGCCTTTGCTGCAGTCATGTAAAATCTAACTAAATGGGAACACTGTGCACAAACACATTTGAACAGATCTCTTCCCATTGTATAACTGAGATTTTTACATTAATAAAGTCTTTTTATTACTGTTAGTAATAGAGCCTGTATTTTACAGAAAGGCAGTTAGACATGCTTATGAATTTGTGCTCCCAGGTGGGAGGGAAAAAATAAGTGGGAGCTGTTTGTAGCAGCTTTTGCTTTTTGGAGAGATGCAGTTAAACTAAAGACATTAAATTGCATTTAATCAGCTAATCAAGTAGTCAATGGAATTTCCCTCAACTATTTGGTTAGTCAATAAATGGGGAACTGCAGAGCAGCAATGGTATTAGCTTCTGCCCTGGCAGCTAACCCCACAGCGGCTTTGCCTTTTAAATGTAATAGGAGCTACCTGGCGGCTGCTGCTCGCTCTCCCCCCGCCCCTCTCCCCCAAGCTGCCTAGGCTTATTGGGTAATAGGGTAGTCAACTACTCAACTAATCACTTACATCCCTATTAAAAACAGGCAAAATACTAGCCTTCTGGGGGGAGAAGAGTTGTGATCCTGCAGTTATACAGGATACTCTCTCCAAGTACCTTTTTCTGTCTTAAATAGGCACTCAGTGTTGGTGTCTCAAAAGCATTAGGGACAGCTTTTTACTACTGCGGTGGTGTTGACATCAGGCTGCTTCCAACAGCAAACTTCTCTGACCAAAAACTGCATATTAAGCTGCTGTAAATGTAACATTACCCAAGTATACCATTGCTCAGTAACTAACTAGGTGGGAAAGCAGTAAAAAAGCTGCCTGGGGATAGGAGTAAATCAAAAATGTATGTGCCACTTTTGCTCTGCTCCCCAAAAGCTCATTGCAGACAATTTTAATGTTTGGTTCAGCCGCTCTGCTTTGTAGGTCAGTTAATACATACATGCAGCAATCAATCTTGTTAGTGTTAGTGGCACAGGTGTCCAGTTACTTAACAAAAGCATGAGGCTGTAACCAGCATTGCCTCACAGAGACATGCACCTGAGGCACCCAAACCTCAGAGAGGCTAGACTCCATCAGAGCACATAGCATATATCCACTGATGCAAAGTATGTCAGCACACAAAGTACTTTAGTAATTGTTTTCTTATTATGGTGTTAATCTTATGTTCCCAGAATGATTTTAATGAATGCAGCCAGATTTGGAGCTTTGCCATTGCTGCATTTTTCCAGCATGTTATTTTAGAAGAATACTTCAAGGACCGACTCCATGGGCTAATGTACTAGTACCTGTTGACTTATGTGTTAGACAGTTAATTGACACGAAATCAGTAGCTGT